AAAGAAAGAAAGAAAGAAAGAAAGAAAGAAAGAAAGAAAGAAAGAAAAAGTAGAATTGGCCAAATGGAAAAGAAGGTACAAAAGTTCACTGAAGAAAATAATTCCTTATAAGTTAGAATTGGGCAAGTAGAAGCTAATAACTTTATAAAACACCAAGAAACAATCAAACAAAATCAAAACAATGAAAAAATAGAAGAAAATGTGAATCATTTTCTTTCACCCTAGATTAACTCCTTTCTTTATGCATTGGGGATAGTTAAAATATCATTGTTGTACCCATAACCCTCCTCCATTGAGCCCCACATAATCTACCCCAGATTTTTGATACTTAGGTCACTTTCAATTGTAATATACTCATATATAAAATAAGGTTGTTTAATGAAATATTTTGATAATTAAAATAAGACAAACATCTTTTCCCCATAACCTAAGTTCAACCTACCACAATACTTATGTAAAAAATTTACCTAAATAGTGAGAATGGGCACAGGTATAAATGAGTCCAAGGTGTATTATGGAAGAACAGTTTACATTTTTGGCAGTTTATTCTATGATGAAATGTCACTATTCTTTGCATCTCAGCTATGCATATGAAGCATCCTATATTTTTAAGTTGTGGTAGTGTATCCAATAGAATTTTCACTGGGGATATTGTAGATTTTAAATCTTTCCTCTACCTTTTCCTTTCAGCTCTTCAGCTTGTCACTAGATCACCTATAGTCCTCCATTGAGTTGCTAACTCCCCCAAAACTTGCTACTCTGTCCTCCATTTACTGGGAATTCTTGACTAGTAAGCCTCTCTTCACATAGGATGGTTGTAGAACCAATGGCTACAAAGTTATTCTTATTATCCAGTCAGCTCATTCAGATCTGCTCTTTGTACTGCTCTCTTCTCTACATTGTCTTCAGAGATCTTCAGGTCAATGTTCATATGACTTATGGTCAGAATACAATTTTGTTCTTTAGTCCTTATTATGGATACCTTGATAAGGCAAATAATACCAAGGTGATACTCCTTAAAATGAAAGAAAAAAAAGGAGTTGAAGAATGTTCCCCTTCTCTTGACTAAGAAGTAATAGACTAGAAATACCAAATGAAATGTTGCATTTTCAGACACAATCAGTATCACAATTTGTTTTAGTTGGATATGCATTTTTTGTTTTAAGTGATAGGAATAAGAATGGAAAGCAGTGATAATGATGAAAAAAGAAGAAAAAATCAAAGTTTATAAATGAAAAAAACTTAAGTATAAAAAGTACATAGAAGTAAGTTTAGAAATGGAACACAGATGAGCAGGGTTGTTTGCTTAGAAATAACATATCTGTTTTACTTGGATAAATTTGTTTATTCACTCTTACTATTTATGATATTCCTTTGTGCAGCCAGTGTTTGATGAGAAGGAGTTAAACTGGTAACAGTAAGCTGCCACTTCCCCTTTGAGTTATCAGGAAAAGTGGTGTTTACCCTGGGTCCCCCCAAAGTATTGTATCCTTAGACAACTAATATTTGAGGTGTGGTGGAGAGATAAACTTCTAGTACAACACAACTCTTGTATATCATCAAGGGAAGGAGCAAGTCCTCAGCTACAGTCTTCCTTCTACACCCTTCAAGGGCAGAAATCACAGTGTCTCTCAGAAAGAAGTGAGCTAGATGTGAGTTCTGATAACAATCCATGTCTTTTAGTTGAGCCAACTTTGTGTTTAAACGCCAAGTGCACATTCATGTGTATGCAAGCACACACACACACACACACACACACACACCCCTAAAGAAAAAAGTCAAAACTATGTAATAAAGGTCATAGTGTCATATATAAACCTCTTTACTGCTCTTTTATAAATTGAAATGTTTATCATAAATTGTAAATTTATTGTAAATTTTGTAAATTTGAGTTTATCGTAAAAAAGAAAATTTCCATTAAAAATAAAATGAGTCAAGTATAATCGAGGGAATGCAACTGATTTTAACCTGGTCCTCTCCAAGCTCCTCTGTTCTATGTAAATTACAAGGGTGGGGCTAGTTGCATAAGACTGAAACAGTCTAATGACTTTACCCACCTCTCCAAAGCAAAAAATAAAATAAAATAAAAAATCATGGGCTATTTGGTTGGTCTTCCTACATTATTGACTATACTTGAAAGTATTCCTTTTTTTGGAATATTACAAAAAAAACTTTGTCTAGTAGCTAATCTAATCCTGCCCTCCTGTTTCCA